CAAAGCTGATTAATAGGACATTTTCAATAATTAATACATTGTACATTGTTATCTTCTTAGTGGTTATCCATAGTACAAGAGGCGGACAGGCTATCCTGTCCAAACACTATCACTACAAATCATTCTTCTTATTGAAGTAAGCAAAAGTAGCTGTATATCTATCCCAACTATTCTGTATATACAAATACAGAATGGTCCTTCCTTTGTATCCCTTTTTTTTTGTTTAGTCCTGTCAGAGATGCGTATTCCATTGGCATCTACATACTATAGGTGTGTGAATTCAGCAAAACAATTCAACACAGTCCAGCAGTCCACTATAGTAGTGGGTTATTTGCAGAAGTTGTTGACTAGAGACTTTTACAGCTCATAGGCTACATTTGTATTTATTTATGAAGAAAGAAATCATCAGTCAATTCGATATAACAATGATAATAACAGCAAAACAGCAATAGTTGAACAATTCCTTTGAGGCTTATTATGTATCGGGTACTGGATTCAATACTTTACGAGCTCTGTAATTCGATCTGTTCCATGCCCTTAGGGTGTGGGAGGTTTGGTCCTTATTTTAGAGACAAGAAGACACTGATTCAGTGGGGTTATGTAAGTTTTCTATAGCAACAGCTGATGGGGGAAGAGCTGAGATTTAACACTTCCTCTACTTGACTAAAGGCCCTATTATTTACTCCCCATGCAATGGTCAATATTTGACTATATGTGTTAATAGTTTACATCAGGGGACTGGTGCTCAACGGACTAAGCACCTGCCTAGGCGAGTGCTGGGACCATGCTTTGATCTCAGGCACCACATAACTGGTGCCGCACCCCAAGGACTGGCTGAGCCAGAATCCAGGCATAGTGGTGCATGCCTGTAATCCCAGCTCTGGGGAGGCTGAAAGCAGGAGGATTACCATGAGTCTGAGTTGTGTAGTGAGACCTTGCAACAACCAAATACATTTTTTAAAATTTTTTTTAAATGTGTGTGTGTGTGTGTGTGTGTGTGTGTGTGTGTGTGTGTGTGTGACCAGCTCAGCCCACCAGGGGGCGGGGATGGCTGGCATATGGTGCTGGGAGATTGAACCGTGGTCCCTGTGCTTTGCCAAGCTTGTTCTAAGTAGGTGCTTTAGACCACTGAGCCATCTCACCAGCCCCCCAAATACATTTTTAAAAAAGTTTACATCAGATCTTAAAGCAGCTTTTTACCAAGATGGCACCGAAGGCCAAAAAAGAAAGCCCCTGTCCCTTCCCAAAGCTGAAGCCAAAGCAAAAGCCTTGACGACGAAGAAGACCGTGCTGAAAGGCATTTACAGCCACAAAAAGAAGATACAACGTCACCCACTTTCTGCCGGCCCACGACACTGCGGCTCCGGAGGCAGTCCCCGGGAGAAGCAAGCTTGACCACTATGCCATCATCAAGTTCCCCCGACCACAGAGTCAGCCGTGAAAAAGATTGAGGACAACAACAACACACTCATGTTCATTGTGGATGTCAGAGCCAATAAGCACCAGATCAAACAAGCTGTGAAGAAGCTCTATGACATCGATGTTGCCGAGGTCAATCCCCTCCCTAATCAGGCCTGATGGAGAGAAGGAGGCATATGTTCGACTGGGCTCCCGATTATGATGCCTTGGATGTTGCCAACAAAATTGGAATCATCTAAACTGAGTTCAGCTGGCTAATTCTAAATATATACTTTTTTCTCAGCAAAAAAAAGAAAAAACTTAAAGCAGCTAAAGTAGTTTATGTAGCGATAATAAATATTAAGCAAAAAGAATAAACTTAATATGAATTTATTAGTAATGGTCAGTGTGTAACCTGTTTTGGTGGGGTTTTTTTTTGTTTGTTTGTTTGTTTGTTTGTTTTTGTACCAGAAATCAAACTTGGGAGCTGGTGCTTGCCAGGCAGGCACTGTAGCACTGATCTATAGCCTAGCCTCTTCTTTATAAAAGCACCTTTATCCTTAGCATTTTGCAAGCAAAAAGTAGTTTGAAGCATTATTCTGTTTCAGTAAGGCTTTGCTTTGTGAAATGTCCTAAACTTGTTTGCAGAATCACAATGTCCCATGAGGAGGATTAATCCCCGTGTGCAGGGACATCTGCTGGCCCCATTGTATTGAAGCCATCTTCATTTTCATGTGGGCTGGATAGAGTCCAATCTTAAGACACAGGATTCGGTCTATAGATGGAGGGAAAACATATGTGTCATGAGTGACCATTTCCCCTAAATCAAAGAGTATACTGCATCATGAATAATACAGGCCACAAATAGTAGTCTCTGCGTAGCTCCAGGTGTCTGACAGTTTGACCCAACTGAATATAAGTTTCACCATGTTGACCCTGGAAGCCAGGGGACCCACTGCGCTACATTCCACCCCTCTGTTCCTATCTTACCTCCCTCATAGGTCTTTCTGGCCACCACAGTCTCTGGTTGACACAGAAGATTAGAGGAGGGGTAGCATCACTAAAATATGATTTCAACTACCACCTACTGCTTCTTATTTCTCTAGCAAGGATGCTGTCAGTAAAAACAAATATTATGGCATTTTAAAGCAGCTCAAAAATTGGGTTCCCTGGATGGACAAATTATTTCCATGCAAGTTGTGCTGGAGCTTTTCAATGAGACAATTGTTCTACTCTTGGTGCGTGGTGATAGGTAACTTGGGGTCATTTAATGAAACTGCCTCCCATCCATACAGACTGTGGCTTTTTGAGAGCCAGTAACCTTGCCAAAGCTCACTCATTCTGGGTCCCTCTCTGAAAGAGCTGTAAGAGCAAATTTTGTCCTTTAAGCGGAGGATCATTGCAGCATGAACCACTGCCACCTCATTACTGGCCCTTGGCCTGAGAAGAGCGCGAGCATTTAGCTGCTACTCAGTGCCTGGCACACCAAGGCTGCTGCTGCACTGAGCTCTTGCAGAGTCTGCAGGGCTGGTGACCACAGCGGGCACAAAGGCCCCAAGAGTGTTCCTTCACCCCAAGAGAGGAATGAGAAACACCTTCTGATTATTTGACACACCCAGCTCTTGGTTCTTGAGTAACATCAAGAAGACAGGCCAGGCATGGTAGCTCATGACTGTAATCCCAGCACTCAAGAGGCTGAGGCAGGAGGAATGCTATGAGTTCAAGGCCAGCCTGAATCACACAGTGTGATCCTGTCTCAAAGTTCAAAAAAAGATAATATGCTCATTCAAACAGTGATTAAGTGAAGTGAGCATCAGTTGGTTCTTGAAATCTTTCCCTTCAGTTTTGGTCTTTCAGCTGTTAGTGCAAGTCTTTGCCTTTCTCTTCTCTTTATATTAGTGAGTCCAATGTAACTTTTCAGAGTAACATAACTTTTTTTATGTTTTTAGGACAGGGTCTGCAGGGTCTCACTATGTAGATTGGACTGGTAGTTATTCTCCTGTTTTCAGCCTCCTAAGCATCAGGATTACAGGTGCGTGTCACCACGCCCAGTCTCCATAGCCCTCTCAGCACACCCCAGAGGCGGGGCCAGCACCGCACACTGCAGATCAAATCCCAGCTCTGCACTCTGTCTAAGCAGGAGCTTTAGTCTGCTGAGCTATCTGGCCGGCCCTTGAGTAACGTAACTTTTAACTAGAAATGCAGCTGCAAATAGAAGCCTAGGTTGAGAAGTTGAGAGACAGCAAAAGGCCAAGTTAATGCCCAATAAATAGACAGGGAAGAGACAACCACGTCCACACATCTCAGAACAAGGCTGAGAAGGGAAGCGATAAAAGAGAACCACAGTGTAAAACAAGGAAAAAAAAAAAAAAGCGTCAATTTTAAGCTACATGAGAGGTCCAATTTGAGGTTTGGCTTAGATGGCAGGAGTCAGATTGAGTTAGAATTAAACAGATCATAATGAACTAGATTTAGTTGGAGTTTTGGAGTTACAAATGCTGTAATTTGACCAAAGGCAAGTTAGCAAATGATTTGTGATTCCTTCCACACCATGTAGAACTGCAATGAAGTGTTACAGTACCAAGAACTTGAACGTGCAGATGAGGCACAAAGAGCATGAAACGCGGCGTGAAAGACAGCGTCTGCAGAGCGCAAGGGTGAGGTAAGGAGATCGTTACACGCGGAGGAGACGCGCCTGCGCAGAACTCCTCTCACCCATGTGTCATTTGCAAAGTGACTCCAGGCATACGGACATGCGAAAGGAGCCTGGTACCTTCTTCAGTCCACCAGCTCCTGAATTGCATGCTGCAGAAGCTGATCAGCGGTGCGTAGCAAAGTTTCTCAGCTGTGTCAGTCAGAATGGAAATACAGTTTGTCTCACGGAAAGGAGAGGAAAATTTAGGGGGAAGGTAGCTGCTGAAATTGGATTCTGAGCAAAACACACAGAACTAACATTAGGGGCTGGAACAAGGTTACTGATGTTATCTTAGTATTTTCAATGATTAGAAGAAAATGACGGTTTCAGAGACCGGGGTGGTGGCACATGCCTGTAATCCCAGCGCTGGGAGGCTGAAAACAGGAGGATCGCTGAGTCGAGCAGGGTACTGAGACCCTGTACCAAATACATAGAGGAAGAAGAGGAAGAGGAAGAGGAAGAGGAAGAAGAGGAGGAGGAGGAGGAGGAGGAGGAGGAAGAAGAAGAAGAAGAAGTTGTTTTAAGTTTTCTGTTGTCTGATCTAAAACATTAGAGGTTGAAGAATTTTGGTAACAGAGATGGGGGGGCAAGAAAACTGAACGACTGCAAAAGAACTAAGAAGACAAGAGCATCAGTATACTATCAGTGGCTACTTCCATGCCTAGGGCTCAGGCAGGAAGTTAAGAGCCAGCGGGAGATGGGAGTGGAATGAATGGGGCGTTAGAAAGGCAGATCTACCACAGTAACCCCACGTCCCTTTGGAAGAGCGACGAGGTAAGATTTTTAAAAAGTGCGGCGCCGGCCTGTGACCAAGGGAGAGGCTGCGTGATCCTGAGGGCGAATCTGAGGGCAGAGGGGAGCAGGAAGGACTGAGGAGACGAGGCCGGAGGGGCCGTGTTGGACTCACCGGCTCCGTCCGCTGTGACGATGGCCTCAGGGGAGATGCACACGCCCCTGTCGTACACCGGCAGCTCCTCGCAGGCCAGGCTCTCGGGCCACGCGTGGCGGTACTTGATGAGGACCGGCTCGCAGCCCTGCCGGGCCCGCTCGCACACCGACTTGCAGGGCTTGATGGGCTCGTGCTGGAAGTCAATGGTGCAGATGGGGGCGTACATGGCGCACAGGAAGAAGAGCAGGTCGGGGCTGCAGTGGGTGCCCAGCAGCCCCTCGAACTGCTCGATGGCCAGGATGGCGTTGGCCTGCGTGCTGTGGTGCAGGTGGTTGGGCATCTTGGTCATGTTCCAGGGCAGGGACTTGCACAGTGGGATGCGCACGGGCTCGCAGGCCGCCGCCCCGGCCGCGGGGAGCAGGCAGAGCGCGGCCAGGGCGAGCAGCGCGGCCCCATGGGCGCCGAGGGCTCCGTGGGCACCGCGGGCCATGGTCCTCGGGGCCGGGCGAGGCGCGATCCGCTGGCTCCGCCGCCCGCCGCGAAGTGGGCGCCTCTCCGCCCCCGTGGACTCACGGCTCCCTCGGATCGGATTCCCCCAATGGGGCTCCCCGGCCCCTCGCGCCGCCGCAGCCGCGCATCTATTTACGCCCGGCGCGCAGCCCGGGGCTGAGGGGAAGCAGAACCGCAGCGGGACGCGAAGCGGCTGCGCTCCGCCGGGCTCCCGGCCGGCGCTTAAGAAGCGGCGAGAAGTCCTCCCCGGCCGGGGCGGGGCACCGCGGCGGAGGGGCCAACAATCGGGCTCGGGGAGGTCGCGGCAGGGGCGGAGCCTCGGGAGGACGCAGAGGCAGCGCAGTCTCCGCCCCGCGTACCCCGCGCCCCTCCGCCCCTGGCCTCGGCGCTCCGCAGAGGTCTCCCGGCAGGTACGAGCGCCCGCGGTGCCGCGGTGAACACTACCCGGGCTGCCGGAGGCTTTGGAAAGCCGGGACCCCAAAACCCAGCGAGGGTTCGGTTTTTAACCCGTCTCGCAATGTTCTTTTTTCTTTGCTCTGTAAAATTAGAACTTTTGAGTTGAGTTTCCTAAACTGAGGAGTGGAAACGAACTGCTGCAGAGCGCGTGGGTCCTCGACTTTTGCGTTCACTTACTGAAATGAAATGCATTTCTCCCCTCCCTCGCCTCCCGTGTCTCCTGACGCGCGCGAGAAATCCGCCCCACAGGTGAGGACGGGAGGGAAGCCATCCGCCCTTCCCGCCCGGACGCGCCCAAGCCGAGGGGAAAATGGAAAGCAGATCCTGGCGGCCCTCGCCCTCTGCGTTCGGTGCCCTGCGCCCTAGGGCCGCCTGGAGCTGAAGGAAGGGCTGCAGGGGGCCGGGTCGGGGTCGGGGCTGCAGGGCGCCGGGGCCGGGGCGGGGGCTGCAGGGCGCCGGGTCGGAGCCCGCGGTGCAGAAGGACCGGAAGCGCCGCCTTCCCGGGGAGGAGAGAAACGCAGGACCCAGCTCTGCCCCGGACCCCGCGCCCTCGCCGTCCGTGAGACTGGAAGACGCGCGGTCCGCACCGACGGGCCGCGACGGCCGGGTGAGCTGGGCCCGCAGAGTCCACGGCCCCGCCGGAAGGTCAGGGCTGACTCTGGCTTCCCGGACTTTGAGTTCCAAGGCGACCTGAACCGCACAGCGTGGCTGCGGTCATTGTTCAGGAGGGAAGCGTTTGCCCGAGCCAGCTTCGCTGGAATTCCAACCAGGACTGTTGACAGCCATGTGGGGTCCTAGGACAAGACAAAACCAAACGTTGCATAGACGAATTAGATGAAAACGTCCAAGTACATAAAATGAGAGAGGAAAAAAAAAATCACAAAACAGTCATTAAAGGAATATCTGGGGTGCGGTACTAGATAAAAATCCGATGGAGGTGTGGCAAACGCGAAGGGAGCAGCGAGGGGCGAACAGGCTGCTAAGTAGACTTTCTGGTTCCTCTTAAGACAGTGTGAGAAGAAATGAACCCTGATTTCAACGATTCTACAGCTAGGTGAAATAAAATCTTGTTTTCCCCTCTGTCCCCTGCACATGTTGGTTGTCTTCTTCATCTACCCTTTCACAACTGTTCTTTAATCCATATTTTGTCCTTATCAAAGCCCAGGATAAAGGGCCGGTCAAATAGCTCAGCGGATTAAAGTGCCTGCAAGCAGGCGCAGGGTCTAGGGGTCCCGTCCCGGGTCTGCAGTGCCGGCCTGCTCCCGGCCCACCCCTGGGGCGCCCTGAGAGGGCAATTGAGACTGTCGTGGTGCGCACCTGTAATCCCAGTTCTCGGGAGGCTGTAAACAGGCGGATCACTATGAGTCCGACCTAGTAGTGAGACCCTGAACACCCTGTAGACTCTTCCATAAAATACACACACACACACACACACACACACACACACACACACACACACACCCCAAGATAAATTCCACTGCCTTCATGAGGCCTTTTGGAGTACCCTGACTACATCTGTCCATTTTTCTAGTTGTTCTCAGAACGTTGGTCATTTTTTTGCAGATAATTTGTGAGGACCTGCCAATTTATTACTTAAAAATTTTTCTTTTATTATTCCATCTGCTTCGCTCAGCCTTCCTAAAGAGCGTGTATAATTTTTGAAGGAAGACTATCTTCTACTTCTTTGTTTTCTTTAAATCATCTGAAGGTGTGTGTGTGTGTGTGTGTGTGTGTGTGTGTGTGTGTATGGTACCAGGGATTGAACTCAGGACCTTGTGTGTGCCAGGCTGTCTCCCCAGCCCCATCTTTTTTTTTTTTTTTTTTTTTTGCACAAAAAGTTGGATTTATTGTTTCTGACCATCACATAATAACTGTTCGTTTGTTTATGTTCCTAGCACCACAGATCTGAGATGCAATTTTTCCTCTCAGTTAAACATATATACTCTGAAAAGTGATCAGGAAGTTTAAAAATAATGTTATGCACAGAATGAGTATCTTAAAAAGCTTGCCAAACATATTAGTTATACCTTTATAAATCTTTGCATAAAATCAAGTATCAAGGCATACAAATTTTCATTTTGTTCTACCTTTAAAAATGCAATCCTTGTTGCTTTAAGAGACTTTTATCCATTCAAAAATATTTAAGTTTAACTGCCCATTGTAAGGCTTATGCAGCGATTTCCAAGTGTCAGAACTAGGCCTCGTCTTGACTGAAGCGAAGCAGGAACTCGATCAGAGTCCGGGTGGGCCTCCCAGTCATGCCCTTCTGCAGGTACAGAACCTCGTCCTTGTTGGTCATCACACCCGCGATGTCTAAGTGCGCCCACTTGGGATGAGTCACGAACTCCCTCAGGAACGCCACTGCGGTGCATGCTCCGGCAGATCTGTATTTTCCAACATTATTGATATCAGCAAGTTGGCAATCTACAACCTGTCTGGTGTAATGTTCAAAGAGTGGCATCCTCCAGACCCGGTCCCCAGTTTCAATGCTGGCCTCAAATAGTTTGTTCCAGAGCCAGGACGAATTGGTAAAGACCCCAGTGGCACCGGACCCCAGGGCCACATCTATAGTACCTGTTAAGGTGGCAGCACTGATGATGAGCTTTGGATTAAAGGTGTGTGTGTAACACAGGGCATCGGCCAGGATGAGCCGCCCCTCGGCATCGATGTTATCCACCTGGATGGTCTTCCTGTTCCGGACTCTGACCACATCTCCAGGCTTGTTGGCTTTGCCACTGGGCACATTTTCACAGAGAGGCCCAGCCCCATCTTATACTTCTTCTGAAACAGAAATTTGAAAACGGAGCAGGCTTGGTGGGACACATACATGCCTGTAATCCCAGCATTTGGGAGGCTGTGAGTTCAAGGCCAGCCTGAACTATATAGCATGAGACTGTTTCTTTTTTTGTGGAATCGGGGATTGAACTCAGGCCCTTGTCTTTGCCAGGCAAGCGCTTATTCCACTGAGCCATCTCCCCAGCCCCCATGAGACTGTTTTGAGAAACCAAACTAATACCGCTATTACTACTACTACTAATAACCACTATGAGGCCGGTGAGATAGCTCAGCGGTCCAAAACGCTTGTTTAGGCACACTTAGGCAAGTGCAGGGACTGCAGTTTCATCCCCTGGCACCACATGCCACACCAGCCCCACCCGCAGGGCAGGATGAGCAGGCCACAAAAAAAAAAAAAAAAAAAAAAAACCAAAAACACTGTGGATCACTTCTGAGCCCAACAGCTGCTTAGAAAGTGTAGCCTGGGCCACACAGGGACAATCAACCTTGAACTACGTCGTGGTCCCCTGGCCACTGGCAGTTCACTTCCTGACAAGGACTCCTGTGGTCTCAAGAAAAGAGCTTGCTAGGTATGCTGGCTGTGTAATAGTCAATACACTACTGCACTGTGCTACCAAAATTTAAATTTGACCTGCCCTCCCTCCGTTGCAACATTGTATTTTTTCAATAATTTAAACAATGGGGGCCAGGGATTTAGCTCAGTGGCAGAAGCTCCTGCCTCACAAGTGTAAGGCCAAGTTTCATCCCCAGTACAATAAAAAATAAATAATAATAATTTAAACAATGTTAAATAATTTAATTTGTTCATCTGTCTAAATAAACTTTAAACTTACCTTCGGTTTGTATTTATAAAACTAACCTCATCTTTCTTCTAAGGAAAGGTCCAGGGGTTGAGGTGTAGCTCAATGGTAGACCCCTGCTTACCAAGCATGAGGCCCTGGGTTCAGTCCCCTGTACCCCAAAGAATGCTATGCTTATAATATGCAATTATTTATTTGTCAGTTAAAAATAAAACAAAACATGCTTATACATCTATAAGTAAGGTTCATAAATAAATAAAAATATTCCTAGTCTGGACTTGATAGTTTGTCCTCACTGTGGCAAAATACCTGAGATCATCGACTTTAAAAAAGGAAAGGTTTATTTTGGTTCAAGGTCTTACAGGTTTCAGTCCCTGATAGCTTGGCCCTACGCATTGCAGAACATCAAGGCAGAGGCTTGTGACAGAGGTGCCCCTTGTGGTAACCAGGGAGCAAAGAGGGGAAGATGAGGGACAGGGTCCTTCCTGGCCCAGCAGCGCTACACAGCCAAGCCTGCGGCACGTGGGGCCTGGAGGACATTCAAGGCCCAGACCCCAGCAATGCCAGCCCAGTCAGAGCGACCGAGGCCCCTGCACACGAAACATCCACCCTTGGTGCCAGGCCCTTGTCTGTCTCCTGGGCACCTATGGTGCGTAAAGCACACAACCGCGCAGCACTTTGCAGGTGGTTTTCATTGCAAGCATGAAGAAATCAGGCCACTAAGGAATGAAGTTTCCCACAGTTCTTGGCGCTGGTAGAAGCCAGCCCCGACGCCACGCCACGCTCCTTCACAGTTCCAGTAATTGTGCTGAAGAATGGGTGGAATGTGCCGAGAAGGGAACGCAGGCTGCTCTCGGCCTATCTCCTACCACACCCATAGTCGGGAACTGCCCATGCCTTCCCGAAACAGAAGGTTGTCACGATGTGAAGTCCAGTGAGCAGCTTTGGGCGCGACGTGAGGGCACCCTCCCCGCTTGGCCTCTACCTGAGATTCTCTGCACACCTAGTATTTTCCTTGAATTGCACTGTTGGAAAATATACCCTACTTGTCCCCAAGCAAGTCAGCAAAAGCTTCCCTCTTGTTACCTGCAATACCAGGGTGTGCAGCAGAATCTCCTGGAGGAAAGGCAAAAGTACAGAGGACAGGGACCTATCCAGAGTTCC